CTTTCCCTTAATTTGTGCAATGCAGTTGCAGCGACTGCCCTGTGTGAGGCAGTGGCCGGAGCGGCAGCAGTTGGCCAAATTTATGCTGTGACTGACTGACCTGATGATTACTCAATTCCTTTACAGGTTGAGACACTTTCGGGTCATATCCGACCGATCCTGGCTTGTGGTTTCAGACGTTATAAAGGTCAACTTGAGGTAACACGCGAAATTCGCATAGGTGTGGGCAACGCGATCTACTCTTAGGGATGCAAAAAGATGCGATTTGCTGATGATTTTGTAAAAATGACTAAGAGAATTGATTGCTCGTTAGATAGGGAAAGAGAACGCCTCCTTCATGTGAAGGTGAATGACCATTCAAATACACTCCTATCTATCGCTCTAACATGGGTGGTTCACCCGGCTTTGTTTCCAGAATGCTCAGTGAACATAACCAAAGCTTCTTTTACAGGTTATTTTGTGGTTTCTAACGTAAAATAAAAGTTTAGTGTCAACAAACGTATAGTGTCTGTCGATCCTGCCAGAGCATGTGATAAGTACTGGACCAAATGGTGATGCCATTTCGTGTCGAAACACTTTGCCCAGATTCCCAACTGCTGACTTATGGGATATTGGCCAATATTCCAAAATGCACTGTCGTGTCGGAAATATTTAGTAAATAAGGTTGTGAAACTAAGCATCATGCAGCATAATTCTCTAATGATGGATTTACCTCTTTTTAAAGTACATCCTTCCGGCTCTGTAAAAATGACTACTTAAATAGCATGCATTTTCTCATTGATTTTCGTTGCCCTCAAAAGTTCAAGTATATTTCATGGAAAAAATGACTAACAGTACTCATTCTCTTGCTTATTCGGCAGAAATTGACGCAGTCTTTTAATTTTATTCTCAAAGGTAGCGTATAATTTGGTGTTTAAAATGTTTTCGCTTGAGAGATTTTTAACAGGGTGAAATGGCCGTTCATAAAACGTCATGTCTGTGCATTTGCCAATGTGGATTGTAAAGTTAACAATATAGCTCAACGTCACTGCTAAACTCTATGAACCCCATATGATCTCCTCTAAATACAGTAGAGAAATGTATAGTTTTCCGTACGCGAAAAATAATGGGCTTTTAGTTTGCAAAGCCTAAATGCAAGTTTATCGTCAGGTCGAGACTCAAAATGATTTGGGAAATGGAAAAGTTCTTTAAAACCGAATTTTCCTTTCTTCGAACATAAAATTAGAAGAAGACGTCATTTTTTTACCGACTGAGCAAAAAATGAATATTTTTATTCATATTTTCCATGAAATATAATTGAATATTTAAGGGTCTCTAAAATGAATGGGAAAGTGCATGCTACTTAAGTAGTCATTTTCCCTAAGTTTGGTTTTTGCATGCCGCCAGAAGGAGGTTCATTCGATACCTGGTATCCTGGGGTAACTGAAATATTATATAATTATGTTGCAGGCTGACCTGCTTTACAACCCTAATTAATTTATTTTTTTAAGTAAGCTCACTTGGGAATTTCTGTTTAAATTTCATGAGTTAGCCCACCTACTGTGTTTTGCCAAAGAAAACGAAATTCGTTTGTGTATGTTGGAAACCTGAACTGCCTTCATGTCGCGTATGACTTATAAACGTCATTTTTACTGCACCGGACCGCCATACATCATTGACGCAAAAAACGTCCGCATCGCCTACGCGTACATTAAATGCGCCGACTCGTCTTTTCAACGGAACCCACATTCACATGCCCGGATGCCCAGACGCGTAGGAGTAATCATAAAAGATACGCTTAGATGTGAGCATTGTTGATCTGCTCCGGACGAAAGACTACGTTCCCACCAGGTGGTAGTCTCCCAGGGAAGCTAAATTAAGGAATCATCACCGTTTAACTACGTGGCCGACGAGCCCGCGTGAGAGAGGCGCGCGTTGCAGCGGTTTTATCTTAAACTAGCTGGACCCCGCCACGCGTTGCTGTGGCTTAGGTGGACTCAAAATCTCTGTTGGATAATTAACCTGCCTCGTCTGCTTCTGCAACTGTATCGACGGACGTGTATGTGACTGCCTCGCTTTGAATCTTAGACGTAATCATGTGGTAATAATGGCACACGTGTTTGTTTTGGTCGCAAGAATTGCTTGCTCGCTCGCTCAATCAGCACTGATTGTTGAAAATGGTCTGAATAGTGGGAAACACCTTTTCAACCAACTCCTCTTTTGAGGACACTAAATTGCCGAGGCTAAGGCGTAAGGAAATACTTC